ACTATTTGCGACAATTTCTCTGAAATGATCCTAAGATTTAAAAAAAAAGAAGACTTTCTGCTGCTGCTAAAACACCTTCGGTTAAACAACGTAAACGGTATGGAGCAAGATTCAATCTAGTGTCGAATAAACAGTAAAAATTTTTTTAAGTTGCTAAGTTGTATCTATCTACTGATAAGTCGTTCAGTCAAACTGCAAAAATCTTTGCTTACGATGATCATATTCGCATAAGTAACGTGGTGAATGCAAGCGATTGCTTCAACAATATTCATTTGATATGAAATGAACTGACTAAAATTCTTAAGCAATTCCAATCGTATGCAATTGAAAGTTATTCGTTCGGAAGCTGTTTATTCAGCAAGACTGGGAATGTATTTATCTATTTATTTACTGATTCAGAGCATTTGTTTGTTCTTTCATATTCGCTAAGATGTACAAATCATTTTTCGTCATTCCATTGCTCTTCATTATTGTTTATCATTACAATGATTACAGCAACAATTGCAGGTTTTCCACACCCAGCAACGTAGCCAAACATTGCACAGAGCATCGTTACGTCGCCCACCCCTTACTGTTTATCGCTGGAGAACAGTGAAGGAATTTCTGATTTTTACGATTTCTTGAGCAGTTTTTAGAATTTTTTCAAGATTAACGTAACTAGAACAGTTAGTTTCATGTCGCTAATCAGTTCGAATCGAGGAAATGGGTTAATACTAAAGAAACACAGTAACTGGCTGACAATGGCAGCTAGTCTTACAAGAGAGCCTTGTTCATTTGTCACATCAAGCGTAAGGGAATTACCGGTGTTTTAATCGAGAAACATCATATAATAAGTGAAATCACTTACACGTATTCCTCTTTCAAGGAGGGTGCATGCACTCTTGGTAGCCTGAACCATTGGAAGAACGGACTGAGTCGTTCTTCGATCACATTCACTCTTTCAACAATCTCATGATAGACCTCTTGGAAACAAAGCACCGAATGACACTGAATCGGAAACGATCACTCAAGCATGATCAATATTGAAACAATGTGAAAGCCACTGATCTAATCACCACTCAGTTTATTCTCATTTATTTTCATTCGGAAAAGGCACTTCTGAGCGATTCTTTGAAGAAAACACATCGTTGAAATCGATTGTTAATTTCTATTGCAGTAGAATTCGAAATATTTTCAAATGAAACATTTATCACGAAGTACACTGCAAATATTGTTCCGAACTTTTTGCTCTCTTGGTTTATCCCTCGCAAACGAAAACGAATTGTATATGTGTGGCTTATGGCTTATTCGATAACTTATTACAGAGAGTTTCAAATTAGATTACAAACGAACAAAAAAGTGACGAACCAAAAAGAAAGCAATGAAGAAGCCGATCAGCCAACCGACCCAAATATCACGCCAATGATTCTTGTAACCATTGATTCGTGAAAATGAATCCACTAACGTTAAGCCCATAAAGCCAAAAATCAGAAATGGTCTCAACAAAGGTGCTCCACGCAGTGTGATCATATAGTAGATGTAAAGCTGAAATTAATTTCCATTTCGCGTATTTCCTCGACTAAAATCTTCGTCTAAAATGATTCCTCCAAGTTTTTCGGGAGCAACCGGTCAGAGTGGCCGAAGACCGATCAAGAGGGATTATCGCTAAAAATCACACAATCTCGATTGATAGAAATCAATTGTTGGTAATACTGTGTGGGAAGATATTGTGATTATATCACTCTTATTATCCATCAAAAAATTTTTATTTTGATTGCAAGATGCATCTTCAACACGATCGTCGGTATCATGAAGTTTGACTCTGCTTCTAGCCTAATTGATTGAAGGCAAATTTAGCAATTCGTATGATTCATAATAAATTGCATAACGTCGAATGCAATTGGCGCTCGTTCATAAACATCGTATCACTATAGATTGATCTATACATTACTGATGCAATATAAGGGTTTCCATCTTCAAGCTAATGGTACTCTTAGGTTTGCCCAGTAACATGTAAATTTCTCAACACCATTCGATTCCTCAAAACCTCTAGATTTAGAATACCATATATTTTGCTGAGCAATTTTGCTTACTTGAGGAGATACTGCTATTTTTATAAATCTATTTCAAACAGCACAGTCGCGCTCATTCATATACATTATATCACTATAGATCATTCTATATATTAATATAGTACTACAGGGGTTACCATCTTCAAGCCTAGCGTACTCTCAGGTTTGCTCAGTAACATATCAATTTCTGTACCCCATTCGATTCCGCGGAAACTCTACATTCAGGAAAACATATATGTTGTCGGGCGATCTTGCTCACATGAGGAGATACGGCTAATTTCTTAAAGATATCTCAACTAGCGTAATGGCACTTGTTCATATATATTGTATCACTACAGATCGATCTACACATTGTTGAGGCACTATAAGGGTTACCATCTTCAAGATACTGGTACTCTCAAGTTTGCCCGGTAAAATAGCGAATTCTCCACACCGTTCGATTCCACAGAACCTCTAGATTCAGAATATCATATGCGCTGTCGGGCGATTTTGCTCACATGAGGAGATATAGATAATTTCTTAAACGTATCTCAACTAGCGCAGTGGCGCTCTTTTGCGAACATTGTATCACTATAGATCAATCTATACTTTAGCATAGCATTATAAGGGTTACCATCTTCAAGCTAACGATACTCTCAGGTTTGCCCAGTAACATCTGAATTTCTCTGCACCGTTCGATTCCTCAGAACCTCTAGATTCAGAAAAACATATATGCTGTCTGGCGATTCTGCTCACATGAGTAGATATAGCTAATTTCTTAAACGTATCTCAACTAGCGTAGTGGCCCTTGTTCATATACATTGTTTCACTATAAATCGATTTATAAATTACTATAGCACTATAATGGTTGCCATCTCTACCTTAATTCTTTCCTCTTTCAAGTTTTTCCTCTTCCTTGCCTCACATATCCATCCGAATCACCCCTCTGTCCCCCACTTCATGAAGCTGAGCTGCTGAATTCCCCATACTGCATGGGATTAAACGAGAACTTATATTGAATTGAACTTATATTGAAATGAAAATGACATTCTGTAAATGATAAATGAATGAACGGTACTAACGGATGCAAAAACGCATGAATATGACGAGAAAGCAGCATGGAGTGACGGGAACGATAACCACGCATAGCGCAGATCATCAGCGTTACGATAGTTGCATGCCAACGCGGGTGACGGTGACGGAGAATGCTCGAGGGGTGCTGTGCACATACTGTGATAATATCAATCTTATTATCATTATCAGTATCAATCTTATCATTACTATTATTAATCTTCATCATACAGCATCGATCATTTGTCAATGTGATGATCATTTCTAGATGAACTACCTCGAATGCTCATCAGTCATAATTGAATCCTTCAAAAAATTCGCCCATTCTCAAATCGCCATCAGTTCATGATAATTTTGTAAAATCAAGAAGATTTTTTAGCATTGTCTCCGTTCATTATGACTGCATGCACAGCAACTCATTTATGCTGTTGTGAATGCATTATTTTCGTTTGAAGGCTGATGGAAGATTCACCTCATATTAACGTTGCATAATGACAGAAAGTACGGTCTTTGATAACCAGTCATCAGCTTGATGGTATGCACGAATATCTGCGTTATCAGCGCTCCAAACATGAAAATGCCTGCAATATGCTCATTTTTATACCTTTTCTAGATTGACCCTCAAGGTGAACCAGAAAGCTTTAGCTTTATGTGGTATCTCTAGGACAGCGGCTCACATGCTGTACCCTCTGCAGTATCCCTGATAACCCAAATTACCCAAAAAAGGTAATTTTCTCCTCCCTTGCCTTCCCGTTACGGAGACCCCTGCTCTAGAGAACAATATTTCACTGGTACGGCTCATCTGAGTATATTATGTTATCATGAAAATATATCATATGCAGGGGAAGAATGCTATATTCAGTGTCTTCAGTGAACACTTCAAAATGTTCGTTCATTGCTATGATTACCACAACTCATAGCCATAATAAAAATGTTGATGATTACTGATGATTGTTGACTTAATATTTTGTTTACTCATACACAAATAATAAATATGAATTTCACTGCGATTGCTTGACTGAATCATGCTGCAATATTCAATCCAAGCCGATGACGATTGAATGTTTGTTGAGATAAACTCCGATCAACAACTAGATCAACTCAAACCGAAATCACACCCAAAAAAACGCACCAATAAATCGTATCACGCGACGTGTAAACAAATGGATTTTGCATTCACCACAATTCGCGTAAACTGTTTTGCGAGGTCTCGTCGAGAATAGCCAAAACATTATCTCACCAATTAAAATCTGCAAAATACGAATGCCCATTGATTATTCATATCATCAGTACTCTTGTGCTGTCCTTAACTGGATATTTGTACAACTGTGTTACTTGGATCATTATTACTGCTATTACTATTGTCATTTTGCTCACCGCAGTCATATCGTTGCACAGCAATTTTGGTTTCTAATCACGAAAACGATACATGAATCAGCAAAATCTTGTAAATATTCCTTAAGTGTCAAAGACCTGTTTTGAATCCAACACTCTAAAATGGCACCGTTTTAAGGTTAAAAGCGAAAGTGAAATCTATTTTAAATGTGATGAATAGATGAAACATTTCTTTGAGTATAGTTGGCAAAATACAATAATAATAGCAATTTGATTTAGTGAATTTATTTGCTTTGTAAATTCACATTATTTGTTCAGTTCTATTGAACAGCATACTTGGTCTGTTTGTACACAATTGATGATAGATGCACGCGTAGATTGCACATGGTGCATGGGCGCTTTAATTCCGATGTTTTTTGCGGGGATATCGTGAAAACACGAATCCAATTCGAATTCGTATCTGTGAATTGATCTGATAGGTACGATCATAGACTAATTTGTCCAGGATTGTTCTCCATATTCAATTCATCCAATCTTAATGGATCAATATAAATAAGTGGGGACTGAACGTACCACAACAACTGGTAACAAAAATCCGAGTACATAGA